TGCCCAAATGGGATGGAATTTGGCACATGCTGCACATTTGAGTCTAGAAGCTAGTGTGCTAAATTTGGTGAAGATCGATATAGCTATAGCTCCCATACATATTTTTCATCCGATTTGTTGTATTTGTTACCCACAGCCATAATATTCACTCCGTAACAACGATATTCAGGGAAATTTATCAAATAGAGCTCAGAAATATCTTGTTGCCAAATTTTATCGAGATCAGCTCAGATTTGGATATAGCTCCCATATATATCTTCATCTGATTTCAAATTAATTTTGCATCAAATGGGCAATACAAGTCCGAATTTAAAAGAAACAAATGCTTCGGCATATTTAGTCCTTTGAAGTCGACCCCGCCCGACTTTAGGCCTTCCTTTACTGGTTTTTTATTAATTTATACTGTCAATCAACCAATGAATAAAATAAGAAAATCCTATCAAACAGCGACTTTAAAATATTTAAGAGAAATAGGCTCTTAATCGCCTGATCACATGTATAAGTAGTAAAGTCTAACTCAAACCCATGTATCTGGCAACTCTAACATAACCGATCTCATCTCATCCCGAATATACAATAAATGGGAAAATACAGCAAAACAGAGCATACAAAACAAACATACATATGTGTCTCTGAGAGCAAAGTCTCTCACAATGTTTCGCTGTGCATGAATCATAACACGAGACGAATTATGAATCTCCGACAAAACAAAACTCAACGAAAGTGACCTATTTCTGTGCACAATGTATCAACAAACATGCAAACATACTTAGCTATATTTTTATATGGCAATCGAATATAAGAGACGCAGACGAACGAACAAACTTTGTGTTTTTTTATTTTTAAAAATTTGCCTAGCAAAGTGAATGAACGAAAAAATAAACACAAAATATTCACTATCTCTCCCCGCGATTCCGATTAGACGGCTAGTCAACAGTGTTTCGGTGCAAACAAAAACAACAATTGTATGACATTGTCAAAACGAAAAAAAAACTTGTAACCAAGTCAGCGACAACAACAATACGAACTAATTTTTTTTTTGTTTTTGTTGCGATGAACCAAACCCCAAACAAATAGGCACGTACTCACAGGTGTCACACACACACACACCCCGCACAGTGGAGTGGAATATAAACGAAATATAAAACATCTGATTCTTCTTGGATTTACTCCGCGGAATTGTTTATATTCATCGAAAATATACTAGGAACATGTAGCACATGAGATCAGTAAAAAACGAATAACCCCTAAAGATCAAAGTAAACAAACATTCTGCATTACCAGTATGTGAAAAATAATTGGTTATTACAAGGAAAAAATTACCAAATAATAAGTCAGGTCATACAAAATTATTGCAGGAAAAATCAAATAGATTATGAAAGTAAAGCTAAAATAGAAGCCACGCGTATCAACGTGTTTAAAGTTTATATCGCATAGTTACCTAAACAGAGGCGGGCTAGTTCCCCTCTTCCACATTCTTGGAATATTTAGAATTGAGATTCCTTGGAATATATATTTTAGGTATATTACCGATAAAAATGCAAGGGTAGAAATTTTTAACCCTCAAGCGATTTACCAGAGATTTTTAAGTTCTTTTTTTAAAAATTGGTTAAACGGGATTGTAGCAAGTTAATACATTATTTGTCAAAAAAAAGTCCATAAACGAAAGGAAGTCATATGTATTACCAACACATTTTAGGGTTAAAACCGTAATTTATGTAAATTCATGCTAAATTCTCCTACAATGACAAAAATATTTTTCATCAACTTTCACAATAAGTTATCGAAAAAATTTCTATTTTCACTGAATGTAAAGAAAATATTTCCATCAATGTTGCCAAAAAACCCGAAAATATGTCCTATTTTTTTCAATACATTTTCTTCAGTCTGTTTTTGATTTGATGCATGAATGTAAAATTGAATGACTTTTTATGTAAAAAGTGTCAAAATAAGAAATATTTTAACAAATAAAAAACCAGTAAGTTCACTCAAATAGTAAGTAAGTAAGTATACTCAAAGTTAAAATGAGGAACTACATTAGCAAGTTTTTGTAAGGCAGCAAAATTGGGGAATTATGGGACACTTACCACAATGTGGAATGTTTTTTACAAGGGTCCTAACGCACCTAATCCGTAACAACCTTCAAATTCCAAATCCGAGAAATAAGGGAGTACCGTTATATGGGGGCTATAAGAAAAATTTCCCCTATACAGCCAATCTTCGAACTTGATCTAATTTCAGACACAAAACGCACCAATTCCAGCACTCTATTGCAATTCCTTTGAGAGATAACGTGATTACAACAGACAGATGAACATGGCTAAATCAGATTAGAATCCGATTTGGTCCAATCTTGGTACATCGTAATATACAGAGTGAGATAAAAAAACTGCAACAAAGTCAAACGCCATACTCCTTACATTTTTTTTACTTTTATTGAATGAAAGCAAAAATGTCGGAAATAGCATCAAATTTTAGAATACGTTTAGATTTGTTCGAATTAGTCTCCTTTGGCACGAATTATGGCCTTCAAACGGCCAATGAAACCGTCACACGCTGCCCGAATGTTGGCCCATTCCCGGCGAAGCGCTTACTTGAGGTGATCGACACTTTGGTATTTTTAGTGCCAGTCTTGCTTTCCAAAATACTCCAGACACAATAGTCCAACGGATTGGTATCCGGAGATTTTGGTGCGCTGAAAATGAAGCGAGGAACCCCATTTTGTAATCGTTCTTGGGTGGCCATGCTGAGTGCGACGGTGCATACTCCTGTTGGAATGTTCAAGGTCCGCGGCCAAAATGTTTGCGTGTCCAAGGCTTTAATAATAATAATAATAATAATAATAATAATAATATTCGGCATTTATTTAATTAATACGAACGAAGAGCGATCATCGGCTGTTATGGCGGCCCACACCATCACCATGGACGGCGCTTGAGTTCTGGTGGCCAACCGAAGGTGCACATTTTCAGCTGACCTCTTTTACAAGTAAAAACGATCATTTTGTTTGTTTACAAACTGCTGGACATCGAGTGTTTTCTCATCGGAGCGGAGGAAACCAAATTCTTTAGCTCTTTTGAGTCTATTTTCTCTCACGGTTATTATTGCACTGTTTGGAATTTCAATGGCTTTACCCTGAGCTCATTGTTCAATATTTGCCGAATGTAATATTGCGATAAGATCACGAGCCATTTTCGGCTCGGGTTGCGATCGAGTCGCTTCTTTACTTTTCGAACAATTTCTGATTATGTTGCTGTTTTCTTCCGTCCACTTCCTTGACGTCGGGCTACGCCAGTATCACGGTAACGAGCGATGGTACGAGACACAATAGATTTAATCACATTTAAATGCTGGAGTGCTCTAACGGTGGCCACTTGTGGTTTTCCAGCAAAATATAAAGATATCACACTATAATGCTTGAATTCCATCACGAATAACTTTTTTCTGAAAAATTCTCACCAAAAATGCTTTTGTATGCTTGTAAACAATATAATGAACTGTCACTGGAATAATTTTAACAGTTGTCGGACGAGTGACTTAGAAATGACAGCAGTCTGAAGTTGGTTGCAGTTTTTTCATCTCACTCTGGATTTTGACATGTTGACACGCTTGAGGATTGAAATTTTTTAACCAAAATAATCCACCAATTTTTATCTGCAATATTGACAAAGCCGCTATTTATAAAAAAAGACGGATTCGGATTGAGCTTTATCCAAAAGTTGCTAGAAGTGTGGAATATTGGGATCTTGCCCCCTATTTTGGTTCCTTCACGATATAAACTTTTAAATCGCCGATACACTTTTTTTTGTATTTTGTTATTTAAAATAAAGTGGAAACGCTACTAGAATGAAATATAGGTCCAAGTTTCGTAAATATATTCCTTTTTAGTCTTGGTTTTTTTCAGTCGATTTTGATAACAAATTGGGTATTTTGATTTTAAACCTTCCGATAGAAATTATTATATAATCGAAACAGAAGCTTCTATTCTTTCGTGACTCTTAGTGAAATTTGATGAAGAATTTTATTTTAGTCCTTGAGGTCATACTTTTAAAAGCATGCTTTGTAGGAAAATTTTGAATATACCCTTGACTTGAAGTCCTGTTTTTAACTCTTAAATTTAATTCTTATATATTTTTGCATTGCTGCCGATTAGCATCTATAGTAAACATATATGAAAAAAATGTGTATGCCTAAAATACCCAGTGTCCAATGAAAATTAATTCGAAAATTTCCAAAAAAAAAAAATTGATGAGGGTAGAATTTGCCTTCTTCTATTTAGGGTTTAAGCTTAAGCTGTAAGCTTTTCTATTTCCAGCACTACTTTAAAAATCTACTGGATTTTCCTCCATTTATTTTTTGTGCTGCATCGCGAAATTTACCTGATTTTGAAAGGCCTATCTGTCCAAAAAATCCATTTTAACAAATGTCCCTAAACTTAAAGCAACATTATCTATTATTTTCACCCTCAGTTCTCTTTAACAATATCGCTATCCCACCACAATTTTTTGTCCAATTTTATTATTGATTTGAAACACTGTCCAGCTCATTGACTGTGAGTCATCTCGAACACAAAATTGTTTTTGTTTTCTTTTTTAATTTTGTTTACACCACTGTACCCAACATGCCTGCCTACAAAACACACGCACATAATCATCCCCATCCACCATCAGGCCACCCGGTTCAAAATGCAAAACTGATAACATATCATTTCGTACGTCCCCACCATTAATACATTTGTTATGATTTCGATAAAAATATAAACGAAAATGAAACGCTGCGTAAGTAGGTAAGTATTTTGCAAGCTCATCGGAACTCCAAACTAACAACAAGGAGGGCGGGCTACGTCATAATTTCGAGAAGCTTCTATCTTCAGTTGTGGTTCCATAGAGATTGTCGCTTTGAGATATAGAACTAACAACTTGCGTCGAAATAAAACACAACACACAACTTTGTTGTTATATTTTTTTTATTTTTTTATTTTTTTTCGTAAAAAAACTTGCTTTGTTTTTAGTTTTTTTTTTTTTTTTTGTTTTAAAATCTAAATTAGTTAATTAATCAGTAAATAGTAAAAAATGTGTGTGTATGTATGTGTTTAAGTTCCTATAACTAACTAAATTTCAACAAGTTTTAAGTAAATACCACCCTCTTGCGTTAGGAGAGCGTAACGCTTATCAAACTTGATGCTACTGACAGTCTTATCACAGCATTCAACGCGATGATGCTTCAAAAAATGTATCAGACCCAATTTCACCTGCAGCAGCGCAAATGGCTGGGCAATACACTGATGGGGTCCAGCGCCGAATGGCAGATATGTCATGGGTTTGTGAGATTTCTTTTGTTCCGGCGAAAAGCGTTCCGGATCAAAGAGGTCTGGTTCGGGCCAATACTGAAAATAAAATAAGAGCATAAAAAAATCGAAAATTAAATATTTGTAAATTGTATTGAGAAAATGTTGAAAATTATATATTTTGTAAAGGGAAAACGTGACTTTCGTTATAATTAATAATAATAAATAATAAAATTAAAAAATACATCAAAAATTATTACCAATTTTGAATTGGTTAATTACCTTACCAATCCCCATATAGGAGCGAAATATGTACCGGCATCATCCAAAGTGGCTACGGAAAATCCATATGTTTTGGAATCCATCTTGTTAAAATGTTGGTCATCAAATAACAGCATCACCCTGCAAATGTTTTTTCTGGCCCTTGTAGAAAACGATCCTGAAATGCGGTAGTAGGCTCCAAAGACCCGGTTGTTAACAAGTATTCATAGGAAAAAAATTCAGCCGAACGAGTTCCAATTTTTTTTCGCGAAAAATACAATTCCCTTTTCATCAAGTCGATATGGTCCTTGATATTTTCAACAAGATTCATAATTGTTGAAAAAATTTGGTCCTTTTTAAATTGTGTTTTACATTAGACCAACGTATCCCTAGTTCTGATGTTACTACAAATATTGCAATGTTGGAAGAAAACACTTGCTCTATTGGGATCTAGTGAGCTTGAAGCAAATCGGCCAATTTGGACACTCTCTTATACCCTCAGACATATGATACTAAGTCTCATTGGACCAAATCTATTTCAGAACATTTGGAGTCGATCTATCGATGTCCGTCCGTCCATCTAGTAGACTAGTGCGTACGATAACTTGTTATATTATTGTCACACTTAGATCGAGTTCGCATATGCGCAATATCGGTCCACTCCTTCAGGTACGACCCACACAAAAGGTCGACATTTTCCAAGAAAATAGTTTGTTTCTTGAAAAGAGAAAGAATCATCCGACTTTGCAAATTCAAATATTTTCACCTGGCGCAGAACTGGACAATATCGAACCCCTCCATCAAGTACCTCCCCGAAAAGTGTCAACATTTTGAATAATTATGACTCTCATATGTGAAATAAGGGTCCAATTGTCTTCAAAATCTAATATTTTTACCAGCACAAGACATGTTGTGATGATGGAATATATCGGCCCACTCTTTCTGGAAGACTTCTTTTCTGGTAAATCTCCCACCCAATTTTGTTCAAATTTTGTAAATCCTAATATTTGCATCTGTGCTGGGTTAGAGGCAAAAATAGGCACAAAGGTCAATTTTGTTAATAATAATAACTCATATAAAATGTGAAAATAAGAGTCGAATTTTGAACCTATTCCAAATTTGGACCCTTTGTGGGGATATTGTCCCTTTTCGCACCTGACCTACCACTAACAAAAATATTGGGATTTTTCAAGTTTTTATAAAATTGAATTAGGTAAATTGTTTTCATGGAAAATTCTGACCTTTTGTGGGAGAGGTAGCAGAAGGAGTGGACCGCTGTTGCTCATCCTCGAACTCGGTCTTAGTTTGATAATATTACGATGCACAAGCTCAAAATGACCTGAAACGGATCCAAAGAGACATTGGGTCTATAACCGTTATTTTCACTTTCGCTGTTTCTGAAAGGCATTTTTATACCGCTTCAAAGTTTAATAAATTATGTAAAATTTTCCTTTTTTGGAAAAAATAACAGGAAAATGTTTACCTTTTACACAAACAACTCCTCAACATCTTTCAGTTTGAAATTATTCCAGGAGGATATAAGTAAAAACCTTTTCTTGTCCAAAACTTTTTCAACGTCTTCCAATGTAAACGTCAGATCCTATTTTAGGATTTAAACTTTATCCATTTATAATTTAGTACTTTTTGAGCAACTGTAGTGCGTACCACCTCCAAATCTCAACCTCACATACCAACAGCTATCAAAATATCAAATTTCAGCTCTATCCCTTAAACAATACAAAATTTACACCAAAAGTTATAGTACATATTTCTAAAACAATTTCAGATACCAACATAGCACACATTTTCGAAATCACCTCCATATCTGAACCTTAGATACCAACAGACACCTAAAAACATAAAATCCAAGCCCTATACCGTCACCCAATACCCAATTTAGTAACACTTAGTACTTTTCAAACAATTATAGCAAATATTTCCAAAACTACTCAAGATCTTTACCACGGACAGAAATGCTAACAGAGACCTCAATATCAAATTTCGGGATTCCAGATCTATCCCTTCGGCCAATACCAAATTTAGTATCGTTTAGTACTTTTCGTACAAATATAGAACGCATTTCGAAACCATAACCAAATTTCAAACACAGACATCATCAGTAATCAAAATATCAAATTTCAGAACTGTATCTAGTACTATTCAGTACTTTTCGTACAATTACTGCAGACATTTCCGAAACCATCTCCATATGTCCAGACTACACATAAAAGCGACCCTAATACCAAATGCTAGATTTTAAGCACTATCTGTTCAACCAGTACCAAATTGTAGCAAATACAGCACTACACTATTAGGTACACAGTAGAAGGAATTCCCGAAAGATCCTACATAACTCAATCCTTTATCCAACAGTTATCTTGATTTCACATTTCTGTATTATAGCCGTATCGGTAGGCACAAATCCAAAATGTACCAAAACGTCCTACATACCCCAATCCTACACTCAAAATTTCGAAACCTACCTCCATACCTCAATCATTGAATCCCATATTTCCAAATGTCAGAATCCGAGCTCTATCGGTTGCCCATAATTTCAGTTTGTACCGAATTAAGTATCATTTAGTAGACATAAATATGAATTTCCGAAGCTTCCTACATATCCCATTACTATACTCCCAGAATAGTCCCAATTCAAAATTTCACGATTCCACCCTATCGGTTCGCCCAATGCAAATTGTACTGAATTTAGTATCATGTAGTACGCATAAGTAAAAACAGGATTCCAACTCTATCGGTTTTCTCAAAACTAAATTGTACCAAATTTAGTAGTTTTCTGTAAACATAATGTAATGATAACTAGTTTATTATCCCCATCTTACACTCCGCCACTAATGTAAATTTCAAATTGAAGGCATCCAGTTCCATCCGTTTCTCTAAATTCGAATGGTACCAAACTTAGTACCGTTTAGTACTTTTGGTGTACATAAGTACAAATTTCGAAAACTTCCTCCATATTCCATTCCAGCACTCCGCCAGTAATGTTTATTTCAAATTTCAGGCTTCCAGCTCCATTCGTTCCTTCGAATTCGAATGATATGAAATGTAGTACTTTTCGTACAATTATAGTACATATTTGCAAATCCTCCCCCTTTATTCCAATACTACTCTTTAACCTTGATTTCCATCCAAATTGCAAGTTTTTAGCTCTTTCCGTTCACATAATGGCAAATGGTACCATTTTTAAAGTTTAGTACCATTTTAGAACCTTTAAACTTAAAGTACGAATTTCCAAAAACCTTTTTGCACATCTATCCTGCACTCCATCAGTGACTATCATTGCAAATTTTAGAATTTTAGCTTATTCCTTTTGTCCAATAAAAAGTATTCAATTCTCGTATTCTTTTAGTACGAATTTCCAAAACCTCAGACTACGCACCCAGTCTAACCCTCGTGCAAAGTTTCAAGATTTTAGCCTCAGCCGTTTCGTCGGTGCATTGATTCTAGATTAGTCAAATAGTTATTTCAATACTTGATTTTAAACATAGAAAGAAAGAAAAGTGTGTCGACATGTTCTAACACCCTCCCCCTTTGGGGTTTTGAATATAAATTGACCTGAACGATAAAACTGGTATTAAATATTCTATTAGAAAATGTGAGTCAAGTCGAACCGATATCTTAAATCTGTTTAAAATACCAAACTATACAATAGCCCAATAGCATAATGAAAATGCTAACTGCCCATGATTAACATTTCGAGCAGGAAAAAGTTGTTTGGTGGAAAGTTTTGAAGTGGAAGCGAAAAGTAGACCTAACCACAAACCCAATTAGAAAAAAAAAACATCAAAACACATTAAAAAAAAACATAGAAGAAAACGAAAACCTGAAATAACTAGAAATAAAAATAATTCAAAATTAGTTTTGAAATTCACGTTTCCCGAATATTTGAATTGAATATTATGCGAAACTAACTGACTGACTCAGCAGCAGCTTTCAAACTAAACCTTATCCGCCGTCAACTTACCTGAGGATCATAATGTAAAGCTAAATTAGATATGTACACAGGCATGCCTCGTCTGGCCATGCATTCAGCATTCGGACGGAATGATACAAATCGTTTGCGATTCAATGGCGTGCATTCTCTTTCCAAAAATGGCACAATCGGGTACTTGCGTAGCGTCTCATCCACCACCATAGCCAAATAGGTCATACGTTCAACATGTTCATAGTCCAGGGCGTTACCGTGCAAATCGGCGAGGGTCGTGGTTATTTCTAAATGCAGGCGTTCCTGTATTTTGGGCTGCCGGGCCAATTCGTAGAGAGCAAATGCCAGGGTGGCCGATGACGTTTGTATTCCAGCCAGCTGGAAGACAGCCGCCTGGGCGACCAAATACTCCTGTTGATGGGCAAAGTGCGATTTGTCCGGATTCAGTTCGGCCTCTTTCTTGAACGTCAACAACGTTTCGATGAGATCATTGCGCAAGATGCCGTCACGTTCACGGTCCTCCAGGATGCCAATAACTAAACGCCGTATAAATTCGGTATGTTCAGAGGTAAAGAGTTGGGGTCGTAGAAATCTAACTAACTTGGGTATGATAAAGATAAGACAAAGGTCGACGGCTCGCCTATAGGTAATGGAAAACATCTCGCGACTATGACCACCCAGCTGGGAGCGCATTGTATTGCGCAGTGAATAGCTTTTCAGACCGAATGCAATGCTGGCAATCATATCAGTGTTGTAGAGGTCGCACACGTCCTTGATCTGTACTATGGGTCCATCGCTGTTGTTTTGCTTCATATCTTTGGTAAGTTTAGCCAAATACGTCTCTAAGTCATAGCCAATCTGTTGTTGTTGGATGGAATATGGATGCCGGAGGAATGCATGACATGATAGGGGAAGATAAGAATTGGAAGAATAAAAAAATTGTGGATTTTCGTCAACCTAGTTTGTGTGTGTGTGTGTTCATTGGAACGAGAACAAAAGAGGGATGAAAAAAAGTGCAAAACAAAACACAAAACAATAACAGAGAACCATGCATTACGAGAGATGAAAAGATCAAGAGAATGTGAAAAAGCTAGAGAGCGAGAGAGAGAAAGACCACTCAAGATCTCTGTGATGCCAACAGAGATGCCATATTTTGTTTTTGCATTACGCTTGTGCCTCTTTTTTGTTTACCTCTTCCATTAGGGAAAACATTTGCCTCAGCTTTCCCGTCGAAAATACCGGAGACACTTTTGTCCTTATGTCACGCCATTCCGGGTTGCGGGCAAAAAACAAATTCAAAGCTCCCATTTTATCCTGATGCCGATCACACTTCGAAAAGCGATGGGAAAAATTCACAAAATCCTCTACCAACACCTGTCGTATCGCCTGGAGATCACGCAACAACAATGCCGGCTGATGGAACAGATAAATGCCAACTAAGGGCTCACGTGCAAAACGCTCATTGAAGTAGAAGTCGCGCAACTGCAGCGCAAAGGAGTTCTGCATTTTGATGACATCCTTCAGATTGCCCAGCAGGTGGTGGGGCCGCACGAATTTCACTCGTCTGCGCTGCCAATAGACATAAGTACGCCGCGACCAAATGAACACCGCCGTCAATATGGTAATAACAATCAAGAGAATTGTAGTGGCATCTACCATGGCCACCGCCAAACGAGGAGGAAAATGTGATCACAAACAAACAAGAACAGCAACAACAACAGCTTTCGAATCACAACAACTCAAAGAGACAGACATAAAATTGGAGGGTAAAAACAAAGAAAGCACAATAGCTTTTCCTCTTTTTTTCGTATATTTTTATTTCTTTTGTTGTTGTTATTGGTCGGACACTTGTTTTCCACAGATTTTCAATTCAATTTCTTCTTCTTTTCTTAATTCACAATCTATTTTGCGGAATTTTTCTCCAATTTTGTTGTCGTCGGATGCTTCACGTTTTTTTTTTGGAACACAGCACACGAAACGTATAATGGGAAGAGGGTAAGAAATGTTTGGGGCAAAGGCAAAAAAAATAAAACAAATAGGCACGGCACGGAGCGGCGCGTCTTCGTCAACGAAACAACTGACCAAAATATTTTTTTAATTATTTTTAATAAATAATAAGAACGTCTGGTTCTGAACCGAGAACCACGCAGACTGTCAATTCTCTTTTGAAATTTGACAAACAATTGCTGCTGTTGCGGCTGTAGATCGCTTACGTACGACCGACATGCTCACACTCAATGTACGTACACGTCACGTCACAACAACATCGGTCGCCGTCTTCGTCAACAGCTTTTTTTATTTTAGTAGTAAAAAGCCAAGCATCGTTGTGTGGGCAGAACACAACAACAACAACAACAACACAGGCAAATAAATACCTACCACCACACGAACGACCGCAGAAACCGCAAAACTAAAATCTCAAAAAATAATATCACCAGCGGTAGCAACAACAACACCATCGCCAGCAATAACACGCCGGCAACATACCCAGCTCTCAACCGAAACTTTATCAATTGAAAATTAGTTCGCACACTGCCGCCACAAGTATAAACAATTTTGTAGATACGTTCTCTCTTCTCTTTGCTCACCAGTGCTCACTCTCACTTATTGCGAACCAGCGGAAAACCGGTCGTCTTGTTGTTGTGAGAACTTTAGTATAGTTTGCTTTGTTTTGTTGTCTTTATGGATCGAAAACAATTACTGGGCTGCCTTTGTTTGATAACGAATGAAAGCATGCTACGGAGACTTGGAATAGGGAAGTGGGATCACTTTCGCAGAAGAGAATATCAATTATATCCTATCCTATCTCTAATATCTTTGTAACAGATCTTGTGGAAATATAATTTTAATTTCGCGTTTTATGAGCTTCATGGATATTCAAAATGTTGAAACTTTGTGAAAGAGTTACAAGAAGGAGTGAACCGATATATCCCATTTTCTCTGCAGATCCTGTATTAGTAGAAATAATGGGATGTGTGAAATATGAAGAGAACCGGATGCTTATTTCGGATTTTATGATCGCTTTGTTTATTTAAAACTTTTACCCTTTTGGGTGGTACCAGCAAGCCAGACGAACGCATTTTTTCCAAAGAGACCTAGGGTCTAAAATCGTTAATTTGATGAGACACGTTTTCGCCGTATCAAATGATATATATCCTCTTCAGGTATATCGGGAAGTATCGTTGTATGGGGGCTTTATCAATTAGTGGACCAAGAACCTAAAAAGTTAAGTTTCAGCTGATCTGATCGGAAATTGTGGCAGAAACCCCAAAAATACCGAAAATAAGGACGTACCGTTATATGGGGGCTATACCAATTAGTGGACTTGTATTTTTTTGCAGGGAAAGAACAGACCTACATTGAACCCTAATGTCAAGTTTCAGCTAATGTGGTTGGAAATTGTGGAAGAAATCGAAAATCTAGAGTATCGTTATATAAGGGCTATACTAATTCTTGAACCAATACAGCCCACTTGCAGTATCAATCAGACTGCATATAATATAGCTTTGTAATAAATTTAATAGCTCTAGATTAATAACTGTGGACTCTATCGTGGTTTCAACATACAGACGGATATCGCTATATCTCATTTTATTCTTATCAGTATGTACATATACTTTTCGGGGTCTCCGACAATTATATCCAGGTGTTGAAAACAGAATGACAAATTTAATATACCCTTCATTTTCTTGTGGATGGTACGAAAATGCATCATATTTATTTAATTTGTATGCCCCCCACCATACATAGTATTGAGGGCATAATAAGTTCGTCATCCCGTATATTTTATATATTCTTCATCAGCGTAAAATTCTAAGCCGACTTAGCCCTGTCCGTCCTTCAGCTTTTTTAATTACGCTAGAGTCAAAACGAATTAAGATAGGATGCTACAATTTTGCACAGATCAGTCTTTTGTCTGCACTCAGGTCAATTCGGAGATTAGCTAAATCGGCCCAAGATATCGTATTGCACCTATATAACGGTACCTCCGATATACCGTACATTGATGATTTTATCCAGATTTTTCAATGGAATTGTGGGATATTCTACACAAGGGTTCGCTCTGAGTACTTTACCACCATAGAAGAGTATTGTCTGCAGGGTGAGATGAAAAAACTGCAACCAACTTCCGACTCTGTCATTTCTAAGCCAATCGTCAGACAGCTGTTAAAATTATTCCAGTAACAGCACATTATATTGTCTACAAGCGTTAAAAACTTTTTTGGTGAGAATTTTCCAGAAAAGAAGTTATTCGTGATGGAATTTAAGCGTGATAATGAGATTTCTCTATATATGTCTGGAAAACCACAACTGAATAAATGTTTTGTATCTCGTACCATCGCTCGTTACGGTGATACTGGTAGCGTAGCCCGACTATAAGGAAGTGGACGGAAGAAAACAGCAACATCAGCAGAAATTGTTCGAAAAGTAAAGAAACGACTTGATCTGATCGAAACCCGCGTTGCAATGGCCGAAAAATGGCTCGTGAACTGAAGATATCGCAATATTCCATTCGAAAAATATTGATAAAATGAACTCGGTGTAAAGCCATTGAAATTCCAAAAAGTGCAAGAACTTAAACCGCAACAGAAAGAAAATAGATTCAAAAGAGCTAAAGAGTTGCTTCGCTTGGCCGAAAGTGGTGAACTTCCGAATTTGGTTTTTCCGATGAGAAAACATTCGTTGTCCAGCAGTTTGTAAACTAACGAACTTATTGTGTTTACTTGCCAAAGAGGTCAGCTGAAAATGTGCACTTTCGGTTGGCCACCAGAACTTAAGCACAGGTCATGGTGATGGTTTAGACCGCCATAACAGCCGATGGTCGCTCTCCGCTCATATTAATCGACCGTGGCACCAGAATAAATGCCGAATATTATCACGAAAATATTCTGTAGGGTGTATTAAAGCCTTGGGCACGCAAACATTTTGGCCGGCTTGGACATTCCAACAGGACTCAGCACCATCGCACTCAGCACGCGTCACCAAAGAAAGGTTACAAAATGAGGTTCCACGCTTCATTTCCAATTCGTTGGACTATTGTTTCAGGAGTATTTTGGAAAGCAAGGTTGGAACTAAAAAATACCAACGTGTCCATCACCTCAAGTAAGCGCTTCGCCGAAAATGGGCCAAAATACGGCAGAGCAACATTCGGGCAGCGTGTGACGGTTTCATTGGCCGTTTGAAGACCAAAATTCGTGCCGAAGGTAACCGATTCGAACAAATCTAAACTTATTCTAAAAGTTTATAATATTTCCGACATTTTTTGCTTTCATTCAAAAAAATTACAAAAAATGTAAAAATTATGGCGTTTGATTTTGTTGCAGTTTTTTTATTTCACCCTGTATATGGGTCCACGAAATCGTATAGGCCCCATACAATGGTACCCCTTCATATTCGGTATTTTGATGGTTTAAACGACATTTCTACCGGTTTTGTTTTTCCAAATTTCGTATTTGTAGTGGGTACATCAGTCTATCACAAAAAATTGCGTATCCACGTCTTCGTATAGCCTCCATATCACGATACCTCCCGATATTCGGTATTTTGATGATTACATGGATATTGTTTACCGGAATTGTTTCAAATTTCCTATTTGAAGCACATAATGGGTACTACAACTTATGACAAAAAATTGTCTATGTAGGTCCACGTTTTCGTATTTAGCCCACATGTAACGAGGGAGGGAGGTACTTTTATTCGGCATTTTGATGATATTACCGAAATTTTTTACCGGAAACGTATTTCAAATTCGTAGTGGGTACTACAGCCGATAACGGAAAAATACTTATGCAGGACTTCGTCTTTCTATAGCTAATATATAACGGGTTTCCTTTGAGCGGTATTTTTCGACAAAATTTTTAGACATTTCTTAAGTTTTTTCATAATGGCGGAGGGTATTAAAAGTTCGGCCTGGTTGAACTTAGCTGCTTTTTTATTTGTTCCATGTTATATAGATAAAAAGTAAACAAGCTGTAAGTTTGGCCGGGCCGAACTTTGAATACCCCCCACCATTTCGAACGAATTTGGCAATTCTCAAAAACAATAAAGTCCGTTAAAAATTCTGTTAAAATCTTAAAAATTCCGAATGTAGCTGTTATATTAGGTTCTATACGAGGACATGGACCTGCATAGGTAACATCTGTCTTGAGCCATTACAATATTCAAATTTAGAAACTTAAAAAAAATGGTAACAATGTAGCTAAAATCGTCAAAATACCAAATATGGGAGATACGGTTATATGGGGCTATAAGAACACATGGACCGGCACAGACCATTTTCTGTCTTAGGCTGTATTATCCATTACGAACTTCAAATATCAAATTTGAAAGAATTCCGGTGAATAATGTCGCTAAAATCATCAAAATACCGAATATCGTTCGGAAGCTAGAGTAATTTCCACAGACGAATGGACATCGCTAAATCGACATAGAATTTTATGCTGTTCGAGAATATATATACTTTGTGGGGTCTAAGATGTATATTGCGAGGTGTTACAAACGGAATGACAAATTTAATATACCCTCCATACTATGGTGGAGGGTATAAAAAGGTATATCACCAACCTCGAATCAGTTATTTAAAAAAAATTTTTTTTTTAAATATCAAATATATTATTTTCTTCTTTAAAAAATCAGATATCATAAATTCTTATAATTTTTTGATGTGACCTTATGGTTGACAGACGTAAACATCTTGTTAGCAAAGGTCTCCTTATTACTCAGAGTACATTTTTGAGGCACACGAAGCTCTTGTGGAGAAATGAAATAATGAATGCCCTACACGAAGCATTTAGGACCTAAATTTTAGGTTCTACATTTTCGTATTTTATCTTCATCTCCTTCATTTTCAATAATTCGAATCGGCCGGTACCTATAGTTAAATAAAATCTGAACAAATGGGTGAGTTCTCATAGCACACTGCGATGGAGGTTCAGTACAGATATATAATATTTCTCAATCTTCCACCAATCGCTAAAGGGTATAATGGTGTCTACTCAATCTCATTTTTTATGTTGGCACCCAATTTATGTTAATTTGCTGATAACATTAGGGCACGTGCTCTCGAACCAACTAGAAACTCAACATAGTTCATGTTGATCTTTACACTTTCCAACTGTAATCTATGATTAGCTCGTATAAGTTGTTGTTTGCGGATGAGCCCACTCTAATTTGTTTTAGAAGGTGTGTTCGTATGTAATCAAACTTGTGGGCTTTACTCTCGGACTCTCACTTTCCCCCCAGGCAACAGTTATTGAGAGTATTGCAATTTGTACTTGGCTTTTATCACCTCTCATTACAGACAGCTGAGATCAATGCAAAATGTGCTTACTCAT